TCCGCTTCTGTGCCACCCAGCAGGTCATTTCCTAGGCAGTAGGTATGCTGGACATTTTTCCTCCCTAGGTGCGGCACTTTGCATTTCTCCTTGTTGAATTGCATTCTGTTGTTTTCTGCCCACTTGTCCAACCTGTCCAGGTCTGCTTGCAGCTGTTCCCTGCCCTCCGGCATGTCTACTTCTCCCCACAGTTTTGTGTCATCCGCAAACTTGGACAGAGTACATTTCACTCCCTCGTCCAAGTCGCTGATGAAGACATTGAAAAGTATCGGTCCTAGGACCGAGCCCTGCGGGACCCCACTGCCCGCACCCTTCCAGGTCGATACCGACCCATCCACTACGACTCTCTGGGTATGACCCTCTAGCCAATTCGCCACCCACCAGACTGTGTAGTCATCCATGTCACAGCCTCTTAACTTGTTCACCAGTATGGGGTGGGATACCGTATCGAAGGCCTTCCTGAAGTCTAAGTATACGACATTCACCCCTACTCCTGTGTCCAGGTGTTTTGTAACCCGGTCATAAAAAGAGGCTAGATTAGTCAGGCATGATCTACCTGCTACGAACCCGTGCTGGTTTCCCCTCAGCATAATTTGTCCTGCTGGGCTCTTGCAAATGTGAGCCTTGATAATTTTTTCGAAGACTTTGCCTAGGATGGAGGTGAGGCTGACTGGCCTATAGTTGCCTGGGTCCTCCTTCCTCCCCTTCTTGAAAATGGGGACCACATTGGCCCTTTTCCAGTCCTCCGGGATAAACATTGATAAGCAAGTATATAGATACTGTTGGACTACCGGTCAAGTCTCTTTCAATAACATGTCATAGAAAAATAGGCCTGGAAGACATCAAGATATCATTTGCTCCAACCCTCTCGTCAAGTCAGGCTTCTGTCTGTCTTAAACTGTCCTAAACAAATATTTGTCCAATCTGCATTTAAACACTCAGCAATGTAGATCCCACAGTCTCCAAGTGATACTTTTGCAGTTCTCAACGACCCTCAGAGTGAAAAAGGTCTTCTGATATCCAACCTAAGTCTCCCTTGTTGCAGTCTAAGTCCATTACTACTTGCCCTGTCCCCTTATGGATAAAGCAGACAGTTGTGCAGCATCCTCTTTATAACAATCCTTTTAGTTTTTGAAGACTGGCAGTATCCCCTCAGTCTTTTCTTCTCTAGGCTAAATATTCCGAGTTCTTCCAGCTGTTTCACACATCTTGTTTTCTAGACCTCTAATCATTTTTGTTGCTCTCCTTTGCATTCTCTCCAATTTGTCCACTGCTTTCATCTCTACGTCCTGTTATACTGTATAGTGCAGCCTATGATGCTGTTGGCTCTAGGCTATATGTGTTCATCAGTCAGGAAACATGATTAGTTATATGTTGTTATGTGATATTTGGTGAACAAAGGGGCAGAAGTCCATGTAACATTAAATCTATCTCCCTAGATGAGATTTCTTTCATGCCTGAATGAATGTTTATTTTCTGTGTCTAATTTTTAATAAATTCTATAGATCCATTGCTTATGGTACAGCATATAATAATCTTTTTTTTTTCCAGTTAGCTGATCATTGTGAAGAAAATATATCTATTTTCCTTTAAAGTGCAACTCTGTTAGCTTTAGTTTAGGATTCTGCTGGACTAATAAGAGCATTCTACATGTTTGCTGTAGAAATCTAATTTTGAATCCCAGTCTATAGCTTCAGAGGTTGGGGGGGGCGGGGTGATGAGAGTCCTATTAAAACGTTGTGTTACGCCAGAGGAAAGATAATATCTTTATTTAAGCCATTTATAGAATGGAGTTCTGGAAAATGCTATTCCACTAGAAAGACATAATGTAGATCTGCAAGATGACAAGGTTAAAGAAGGGGAAATTAGTGTAATTGTCACTATGCATAAGCATAAAGATCTCTAGCAGAAAACTCTCTCATTACACAAATAATAATATGTAATAACATTGAAGACTGTAATTTCCTACTGTCTTAGAGATTTAGATTAATAAATCATTATTGTTTTTTGTTTGTGTCTGGTTTAAGCATGACTTGAATTTTTTCCAGTGTATCAATGACTAGCCGTTCTCCACCAAATTTATTTGGAACCGCGAGGGATAAAGCAGAGTTGTTTCGTGAACGATATACTATGTTGCAGCAGGTAAGAAAAAAGTTTTGACTTTTTTTTAATGAAAGACAAGTATTAAGTGCAATGTTTTGAGACAGATCATAATATGTAGAGCAAGGCATCTATGATGTGGGCTGCTAGTGTCACCTTTAGTTGTCAACTTAATAAAAGTCAGGATATATACCAAATTGCATTGACTTTCCTTTGAAATTTTGCAGCCTTAGGGATTCTGATGTGTATCAGTATCTTATTTAGTGTCATGTTTAAAGAGTAAACTGTGAATAGCATTCAGAATAACAACCAGCCTTTCAAGTCAGTGCTGAATGTGTCAAACTGCATCTATCTTAAACTTTTTAAAATTTAAGGGAAATTGTAAGTAAATGTCCTGCCGGGTTGTGGGCGACCATTGGGGATCAAGGTGCCAACCGGGGTCAGGAGGAGTGAGCAGAATCCAGGGACAAGCCAGATTAGGAAGCCAGGAAGTCAGTCTGAGAGCAGGGTTTAGGAAAAAGCCAAGTCCGGAAGCCAGGAGCTCAAGCAGAGAGTCAGAGCATAAGCCAAAGAGAGCAGCAAAGTGGTCTGGGTTCAGGTTGAGCCCTGTTGCCCTTCCTCTTCCTGTGTAGGGGCTTATATGGGCGAAGTGGAAGATTGGCTGATGCCAACCAGCCACTCTGGTGGGGTTAGGCCCTGCTGGAGGTTTCAGCCCATCTTGGATCAGTCTCGTCAATCAGCCATAGGGTAGCAGCCTGGGAAGAGCAGCCATGTTGGACAGGTTGATGCCCCAGGTTCGAGGCTTGGTTTGTGATGCGATGCAAACTATTTGAAATTTTTTTTTAGGTGGGATGAATTTATTTCTTGCTGCGCTTATTTTTATCAAGCATTTAAAAATGTTCAGCTGCATACAGGCCATATAAACCAAAGAATGATGTTGTGGTGCTGATAAATTTTCTTTATGCTCTTTGCAATTTAATTTAAAAAATGTTGCCTGGTAAATGTCAATCCCAGTTGTTCAAAGATGTCTGTGCTTAACTTTCTATTACATAAGCCCCTTATGCATTTACTGCCTCTCTTACATGGGTCTCTATATATCATTTACCTTAGAGGGGCCTGCTCCCCAATTGGGGACTCCTAATTATAAATGACGCATCTTGCATGGCTTTAAGAAGTTTCCTCCCAAGCCTATGCTTCATTCCAGTTGGTCAGGGTTATGGTCTGTTATTTAGAAGTAAATCCTTTCTTAATTAAATTTGTGTTCCCTAAATCAAAAGTGGTTGGTTAAAATGGAATAAAGGTAATATTTTTGCATAACTTGCCCAATGAATCCTTTTTTGGTGGTGATCATTTTTAACTAGATTAATCCTGGTTTATTTAGAGGACTCATAGACATGAGTTGTTTACTCCCTCTGCGATTGGTGCTCAACCTGATGACGGCAGGAACAAATTCCAGGTAAAAAATCGTATTTTCTTGGGCTGACACAGGAATGTGATGGATGATGTGATACATTGCATTCCCTCTTGGTACCTACATTTTAATCCCAGTATATGGAGAGTAAGTGAAGATGAGTTTAATTATTGTCTCGGTGTGCGTGATGGAAAACTCCATAACTGGGCACAATTCAGCACTAAGAGCAAGCTTTTAACAAGAAGCAAAGAGAAGTGCTTCCATTATATTTGTTTTTTACCACACATCTCTCCTTTTTAAAAGCACTGCATTCACAAATTCAGAGCTATTGGAGCTTTGGGTAGAGGTGATATCTTTTATTAGACCAACTAAATAGTTGGAAAAAAAATGTTCTTTGCAAACTTTTGGGCACAAGCGCCTTTCTTCAGACCTGAAGAAGGGCATTTGTGCCCAAAAGCTTGCAAAGAACAATTTTTTTCCAACTATTCAGTTGGTCTAATAAAAGATACTACCTCTACCCAAAGAACCTTGTCTTCTCATGTCTTTAGACCATCCCAGTTACTATTAACAGCAGTAGAGTCTCCCAGTGCCTGAAGAAGGGCATTTGTGCCCAAAAGCTTGCAAAGAACTTTTTTTCAACTATTTAGTTGATTTAATAAAGGATTTCACATTTATCCAAAGAACTTTGCCTTGCTACTCTTGATACATTTATTCAGTGGCAGGATTTGGCCCGATCTATTCCATTTTAGTTCATTTTTTAAATAAATGTCTCCTATGTTCTTATTTTTGATGCATGCTTAAAGTTCTTCTCCCCTTAACTCTGTATTTGACACTGAGAAATGTATCTTCAAATTTCTAATAAGTCTGAGCCATATAATTACCTACTTAAGTATGTAAGCTGCAGCATGCACTATATAGCAGCTTAGCTTCCTCACTTAAGAACAGGTTCATGAAAGGTATAATTTAAATCTCTCCTTATTCACTGTCTTGTTTCCAGCTTAAAACAATAGAATCTCTGCTTGGCAATACAGCTAAAATTGGGGAAGTGATTGTTCTAGGAATGATAACCCAGCTGAAGGAGGTAGGTCACATTTTATTGGGGCTCTTTTGAGTTGGTCTGCTTTCAGTACTACAGATTTTTTATGAGATGGCCTAAATACAGCACTGATATCTTGATTTTGTTCCTACTTAGGTAGATGGCAAAACTCTTACTGACTTTTGTAATGCCAGTCCTTTAAAAGGACACTTCCTTAGGAAGCATTAATAATGTATGCATAACGATAATTATTTTTCTCTTCAGAATACAGAGCACATCAACTTAATGTAAATTTGGTTAGTAAGTCATCACCAGTTATTAGAGATATTTTAATTTTATCTATAGAACCTTGAAATGTGTTTTTCTGTGAACTTTTCAGTACACATGCATACACAATTCAATTTAGAGAAGAAACAAAAATCAAAATACCTTCTCTAGTTATGCATCAGTTAAAGGGTAAAATTATAAATAACATATTTTATCAGATAAGTGTTTGTTTTGATTCGCTAATCTCATAATGTTTTAAAAATAAGCTCATTTGTTTAAATCGTTCCTAGATGTATAAGCTGGAAGCCTATTCTGACATGTTTTTTTTAAGGCTCTAGTCAGATTGAAACTAAAGTGTTTTTTAAGTGTAAATAACCTACATGCTTTCTCTTGACTAAATCCAATCAATATTTTCTTGTTATAGGGGCCAAAACCATAAAATATGAGTGCTATGCTTAAAACAGCTCTGGTTCTGTCACTAACACAATATTTTGGCTAATGGCAAAGCTGTACGGTTGGAGGCTTGGTTTTGGGAACTGGCTTGTTTTTCATGAACTAACACAATAGAAAATCATAGGGTTTTTTTTATGAAGAAGCCAGGGATAGATTTTTTCCTGGCTGGGTAATCCATTTTTTGACAATGGTTTGGAAAGTTGAGTGTGATATCTCCTCTGTCCAACATTTAAATAAAGGGAATTTGCCAATCAGAAAACAATGGTTAGTTGCATGTTGTTATATGCACAAAGGGACAGGAGTCTATGTAACGTTAAATCTGTCTCCTTTGATGAGACTGAGATTGCATTCATGCCTGAAAACCATATGTGTTTGTTTTCTGTGTCTGATTTTTCATAAACTCCATAGACACTGTTGATGGTACAGCATTTAATCATCTCTTTTTTTCTAGTTAGCTGATTGTTGTAAAGAAATTATAACTTGTAAACCAGAGTGGAAGGATAATTGGATATCTACCAAATGTAGGGGAAAGCTTGATTTTTTTTTTTTTTTTTTTCTTCTCCTAATGTCTTTTCTGGTATGTAACTACATGGTACTTGCTGGAGTTGGGAAATTATATCTAATCTGCTTCTCTTTGATTCTGGAAGATTCCAACATTAGTGTGCACTTCATTTTGCATCTTTCTAGAAAATGATAGCATATTTATATTGACCCAGTGGTATAGAATGTGGATTTAATATTGGTATTTGTTTTTTGT